TGATGTTTAATGTCTAATGAGGAAGCTTAACTAAGTTCCATGACGAAAGCCAACATTTCGCTGACACTGAGGCGCGAAATGTAAGTTTAGAACTCTGTCATTTGAAGCAAGTGGTTGTCTCAAAGGTTGTATAAATTATATATACTTCAAAATCTCATAAAACCAAACAATATCACATGAACAAGATAAGAGAAAACGTTCTGTGATGTTTTTTTTTCCACCAAATTTACATTGGGGTGCGAAGTGCAAATTCAAGGTGGCTCAAAACAGTTTCCAGCAGTTAGATTTTGACGGGTCATTATAACCACTCTTTATCCCTTGACGCTACAATCATGGTATGAAAAATCTGCCTGGTCATTAGTGAACACATTGTTATCATTTTCGTGACACAATAGGTTACCATAGCAACAGTATGACCTGTTAAAAACACCCTTAATTACAGCTTTGCGGGCTTATAATAGGCCAATTTCGATATATTAAAATTGTAACTTAGCTCCGAGGCTTAGGGGAATAACACAAGGTAATTGGTCGTAATTGAAACAAAAGAAATTAATTATTCATTCCTCATCCTCGATGTGATTTCTCTTGTTTTATAGAGTTAATCCACTGCACTCAAGACTTATATATAAAGCAATGGTACTCGCGATAGCTTTTTCACTGTCAAAACGGGAAAACAGTCGGGTTTTTCGCTTTCAACTGAGCTGTGTTGCTTTTTTAACCGTAAAAATGTTCACACGGAAATGTTTCCGTTTATAAATTAACGCCTAACAAAGAGGGGAAAACACTGCTACAGTTCAGTCCCACTTCAAATCACGAGATCTTCGTATCCAACTGTTATTTGGTTAAAACCGAAGATCGAAATAGTTACCTTTCTTTTAAAATTATGTGTGGCATCATTGTGGACCGTAGACGGAAGTGCAGGTGTCCTCACTACCCCTCCCCACTTCGGCTTAATTAAAGTCAATGTCGCTGCAAAAAGCAAATGCAAATTAAAAAAAACTGTTCGTATGGAATAAATTTTAAGGTCTAGTCAGAATTTATCAACTTCTGAAAATCACAATATGGATTGAGAGGCCGAAATGTTCACACTTAGGGGACCCTAAATGGTTATATTAACACACGCTATCACGAGGGATGTACGGGTCCGCAAATGATCCCAGGAACGCAAATGATCCCGGACCGCAAATGATCCCCAAATTGAACCGCAAATGATCGCGATAAAAAAATAAGGAATGGCGTGGATTTGTATCAGAAGAAGGTGAGAACATGTACAAAAATTATGAACTAAAAAACATGTTTTATCATTTTACAAAAAA